CCGATTTACTCCTTGCTCATGTATACTAGGGACTTCTTTTTGCACCAACGCCTGAAGTGTCTATGTGACGCTATTCTCTTTGCCAGCTTCCTAGCGTCCAGACGTGTCAATCTATGCCTGTATCATTTCATTTTTCAAGGCAATCTGGAATGTCTCAGTTTTTACATATGCTTGGGTAAGTTAATTATAGTTTACGAGTACCAAAAATGATGTCTGTAAAGTAGTCACTGCTGTAGAGAGATCAGTATCAGCTGTGTGATCACACTTAGTTCGACCGTTCTTGATCGCTAGAGAAGCGGATTCGAACGTAGACCTTCCCCTGTACAGACTAAATAGCTTATGCCCTCAATAAACCACCCATACTGGTAAAACTTAATACCCTTACAAGTGTGTACTTTTTAAACTAACTATAGAAATCTGTACATACGAAATGGGGACAGAATTGGGTCAGGACTTTGTTAATCAAAGTATGTGTGTGTTTGACCCAGATCAATGAGTGCTAGGGCGAGCGTTGGGAAATCTAGTGAATGCAGGTACTGACAGTAAATATTGGTGTTTGTGTGCAGAGTGAGGGGGATAGGGAGAGTGATATATGTGTTAGACCACTTTATCTATCTCCACTGTATATCTGACTTGCCTTCTCTTGCACTAAACAGACAGATGAATATAGGAGACTTGTGTCTCTTGGTCTGGAGAGGCAATCTGAGGAATGAAACAGGAGAGCAGGGGGGGAGTCAGCAGATGGGGGTTGATGACTGATGCTTGTTCTGTCTTTCCTGTCAAGATATTACCCTCTTGGTGATGACTAATGTTGAGTTATTTTCTTGACAGGATGTATCTTTTGTGAGGAGCTGGCAGAAGATTCACAGTCCAACCAACACCCACCAACTATAACCCAGCAGTCAATTAACCCATCACCCACTTATTATCACCCAACTACCAATTGAGAAGACTGTCCTCCTCAAGATGGGGTACAATATAACCCAAACATCATCCAGTGCCAGAGCATGTGTGTAACTCAGGGACAGTACTGTGAGTTACTCGTGGGAGCAGGTGCCTATCCAGTTGCTGTGTGCCTATCCAGTTGCTGTGTGCCTATCCAGTTACTGTGTGCCTATCAAGGTGCTGTGTGCCTATCCAGTTATTGTGTCCTCTATGGTGAGGTACTCTCTGACTATTTGATCCAGTGGAGCAGAATTTCCAGAATCAAAGACAGTCGAATCATCCGGAGCTGAAGGAGGCATCATAGACAGAAAGGATAGAAGCTAAGTCTGATGCTTCGTGTGCTGTTGTTTTCCTCACAGCTCATTTGTTTCCAATGATGACATATAGTCACCTCCAGGACCGGCTGTCTGTATAGTTTCCTTGGGATCTAGACATTAGTGCTGAGATTCTTTCACTGATAGCTGGAATTCACTTCAATTTTTTATGTACAGATATTATACTAAATACATGCATTCATTTTCATAGCTGACTTAGGTTTCTCTATGTCACCTTCTTAAGTGTCTAGCAGTTGTATGTGTATGTATCTTCATTATATGTGTTAACATGGTTATGATAATGAACTATCATAACCTGGGGGCTTTCTTTAGTAAGTAGTGGGGGTGTCCAGCCAAGCGTGCCTAGAAATATTGTATTTATATACTGATATATTTTGTAGAGCCAATACTTGAGTTGCCCTACTCCAGAGATAAGTTGAGCGTATATTGGCCACGGGGGAATCCCTTAGACCAATACGAGCCAAACGACTCAACATAATTATCTCTGAGTGCTGTTGGTTCTGAAGGAGGAATCCTTACATTAGGCACACGACAGGAGTGATATGTGACAACTATAACACCATATGTCTTGTGAAGACTATAACACCATATGTCTTGTGAAGACTATAACACCATATGTCTTGTGAAGACTATAACACCATATGTCTTGTGGAGACTATAACACCATATGTCTTGTGAAGACTATAACACCATATGTCTTGAGAAGACTATAACACCGTATGTCTTGTGAAGACTATAACACCATATGTCTTGTGAAGACTATAACACCATATTTCTTGTGAAGACTATAATACCATATGTCTTATGAGTCATGTGACAAAGGTTTTACTGAGAATAATTATAAAAAGAAAAACGAATCAAGATTAAACCAGAAACTAGTGAGGAACAGTGCGCCTGCGTAAAAGCAAAAGTTACATACACCCTCATGAATCTTTCAGAAAGAGCAATAGAAGTAAAAATAACGATCTTTACTTATGGTTCATTGACTATACGAAAGCATTTGATTGTGTGAAACATGAAGAAAAAATCAAACTACATGAGAAGTTAAACATTGATGGAAAAGTTTTACGAATTATGAAGAACATGTATTTGCAGCAAAAGCAGCAATAATAATTAATTAACATTTGAGGACATATCAGATAATAAAAGGAGAGTAAGACAAGGATGCATACTATGCCCTGATTTGTTTTCACTGAGCAATGAGTATATAATGAGATCTGTTATTGATATGCCAGGAATAGTGGTTGGTGGTCATAACATAACAACCTGCTGATGACACCGTCTTGAAATTGACAAGCAGAAAGACCTACAGGAATCGACAGGTGGTAGAAAGTGATGGCATGGGCTTCATTTTGAATAAAGGAAAGACAGAAGCAATAGAGATTTTAAGAAAACTATAGTATCTAATGTGTAATAAAAGTCAAAGACGTTATTTTAGGAAGAAATTTAAGTATCAGGTACATGGATAACATCCATTGGAAGATGTATCACAGAGATAAAGACTAGAATAGGACAGGCCACAACTGCATTTTATTAAATGAACATATTGTGTAATAAATCCATGTCACTGGAGGTTAGGAAAAGTATTATCACATGATATAAAGAGTCAGTTTTAACATACGGCTGTGAATCATGGACAATTAATAAACAAGCCGAACAATATCTGCAGGCCTCGGAGATGTTGTTTTATTGAAGAATCCTTATAATTCCTTGGACAGATAAAAAGAGCAACCCAGATGTTTTGAATGTGGTGTATGCTGGAAGAAAACTTATGACAAACATCACAAAAAGACAGTCATCATTATTTGGTCATGTTATGAGAAAAGGGAAACTGGTACATGTTGTGATCACTGGAAAAAGCTGTGAAAAAAAAAAAAAAAAAACACAGAGAAAGACAGTGTGAGAAGATTCTTGACAATCTTGTGTCATGTCATGTAAGGGTGTCAGCACAGGAACTGATACGCACGGTTGCGGATCGCAGATTTTGGAGAGGCATGATCGCCCCCCTCAGTCGGCAAGGCACTTGATGATGCTGATAATGAGCCATAAGAATGGGACGGGATGAGAGCACAGACTTGATCCATGATTCTGGTTATTATGTTGAGTGGCGAAGCGCCTTCGTCTACGCCTAACGTTGTAACATCTAATGCTAATCACTCAACTGCTACTAGTATTATATATATATATATATAGGGTCACCCAAGCCGGATAGGTCACTGGTGATGGGCGCCCTTTAAAAAAAAAAAGAACAACATTACTGAAACGTCAAGAGGAAATAAGTGCTCAAAACGTCCGGCGGGCTTAGGACAGAGGCCCTGTGTCAGCATCAACAATATGGGTGAAAGCCGAAAGGAAGCCTATGATAGGAAGTCTACTGGACCTCAAAATCAAATTAGGAATTGGCTTCTGAAATAAAGGGGAAAAAAGGGGCGCCCAAAAACAACATGGAAACGAACAATGGAAAGTGACCTGAGTGCAACACAGGACAGAAAAGCATGGAAAGTCCTCCCTGAAGCCTCATTTGCCACTAGTCATAACGATGATTGACGATGATGATTGATATATACATAAGTGTGTATCTTTTTCTTCTTCTTCTTCGCTTTCACCGTGTACCTCAGCGATTTGCTGTGTAAAAGATGATTCTTTGGAAGAACCAAATGTGAAACGGTGCTAGTGGCCAAATTTGTTACCGTTCGAAAAAAAAAAAAGTTCCCTCGCTTCACTGTTCGTTGTTTAGTTCAAGAAAAGAATGCAGACAAAATAAAACCTTGATTTCCTGTTTGGTGGACTAGACTGGTTTCTAATATAAAAATACAATAAGCACATCGCACTGGTTCAAAAGAAGTGGAAGGATATAAACAGCCAACAATAAATCAACGACCTAGTAACACACAGTTTTGGAATTATACATAGACACACGTTAAAACAACAATGCATTGTTATAGTTTAGCAGAAGTCACATTAAGAAAAGGTGAGTTGTTGGCCGGAGGTAATTTTCTGCATACTGAATTTATTATTAAACTACGATTATGTTGGGGGTCTCCGTGGCGTAGCGGCTAGAGGCTCAGAAGGTCGTGGGTTCGCTCCCTGGCGGAGTCGGACTTTTTTTTTTCAAAATGACCTTGACTCTCAGGTAGACAGAGTCTTGTGTAGGTACCGGGAGCAGTCCAGGGAAGTAAAGGCGGCCGGCGTAATACTGACCACATTACCCATCTTGTGCCAATAGCTCTATACAAATATAGGTCTAGTCCTAAATGCCCTATACGTCTAAAGGCGTGGAAAAGGGACCTTTTCTACTTACTTTACTTACGCATGTGATGCACCACACACACACACACACACACACACACACACACACACACACACACACACACACACACACACACACTGTTGCATACTCGAGTAGCGAGGAGTCGGTAACGACAGTCGATTGACTCTCCTCGTTTTGACAGTCAAGACGTGACACGATTCAACCGTGTACAGGTGCACTAGTTAGTGTTATATAAAGGTCCGACAGTTTGAAGCTAAGACTTTATCAGCAGACGTACACTACACCTAGTTTTAGGAAAACAGAAATTATTATTAATTATTTTTAATCAAATGTACTTTGGAATAAAACAGACATTACAATAGGCCTACCTGTTGTGTGTGTGTGTGTGTGTGTGTGTGTGTGTGTGTAAAGAACATATTCAGACGCGGATACAACCAGTAATACAGCTTATGCTGTGTAAAATGCAAGAAGCACGTAAGTTGATAAAGTTTGGTCATCTAAATAGGTTTAAAGTCAACAAAAATATTACCACCGTTTCTTCTCTGTTACTTATTTCCATTCAGGGTCCTGCGTTCATGTTGTGTTAATTATATATTTTAGTAAGTTGTTTTTCCTCTCTCCAAACTGTAATATTGTGTGTGCAATTGTTTCTTCCTTCTAACGGTCATCGGCTGTAAACTCAGGCAGGAATTCTGGTCGATTCATTATCACTTCCGTCCCTTTTAGGATTAAAGTTTTCGTTTTTTGAAGCCCTACTCTAACTTTGCCAAAGGCCGCAATATAGCCTGGCCATACATTTGGCCTAAAGGCTGAACGCGGTTTCTGGGACCTCTCCACGGTGATCCTCGCCCACATGGTGGCACATTGTGTCATCGGGTGGTTATCGCTTGTGTGATGTCCTCGTGGGGTAGAAAGTCAGTAAGTCAGTCAGGAATTCTGGCTGCTCGTCCACTTCAAAACTTTGGCCTTGTTAAAAAGCATGAGATTTGTATACACTTCCGTTTTGCAGATCTAGCATAATTTATGCAAAACAGGCAATAAAATGGGAAATAGATTGGTGAAGAGACCAGATTAAAATAACAATATGAAATACGGCCCATATAGAGCATGCTTCGGAAAATATAAACTGCCGCCCTACGTGCAGAGTGGCTTACTTTGTTGGATAAGACTCTGATCAGGAGCAAATCGCTGATTTTCTGTCCAGAATATTCGGGTGTGCGGGGTAATGAGCAGGCTGAGAGATTAGCTGATGACGTTTTTCTTGGTGATGAGCTATGTTATGATAGTGCGGAAGTTGGGATCCAGTGGATAGTGCAACAGAACAGATAGAGCATCCATGCATTATAGGCTAATTCTGCGTAGTAAAAGAAAAGTGGCTGGGTGGGGGCGGGAGGGGGGGGGGTGGCAGAAGGTCTTGAAGATATTCAATACTGAGGCAAACACATATGTGGACTTTTAATCAGGTTGCAAGAGGTACTATGAGTATATCAATTCTTTGTTGGTTACCGATAAGGAGACGGAACACGTGTGGAAATGTCCCGAGTACAGGCGTCAATTCTAAATTAATCGAGTCATTCATTTCTTTCATTCATTCAAGATTGGCTAGTGATTTTATCTTGTTGTCGTACCCTTGTTCTTTCTCCATAAATCTCGCTCGTCGCCATCACATGTCCCAGTTTATTATTTCTGTGAGCTTTTTTCTCCCCAGGTCTCTTCAAATTAACAGTCTGTTTTGCATTGCTGCTGTTTGTAGGATACCTCATATTCGATGCAAACCGGACCTCTTGGAGCGCATTTTCACAATTACGTGAGTCACTCTTTAGTTGTTTTGGGGTGAGGGGGAAGGGAGGGAGCGGAATCTTTCTACAATAGAGAGTCCTATATTGTCGATCATGTGCCTTCACAGAGAGAAAACAATGGTTGAGGGAAGGAAAAGGAGGGTCTTAACGCCCCTCCAGATGACTAATGCTACTTTAAGAGTATAATAATAATGCTAATTTGCCAATATATAATAAAACAGACGTAAGAGAATGCATGGTTAAAGTCAGCTGCTCAGCCACCTGTATCACCCCAGCTACTTAATTCGATAGGAGCTCTTACAGTGGAAAACACTGGTATAACCACTTCTGCTTTTTTGTGTTATGGGATGGGTTTGCCTCTAATCGTAAGAGGTCGGGGGCTAGGGGAGCTGCTGGGGGGGGGGGGGGGGGGGGGGGGGGATAGGAGGAAGAACAGTAGCTTTGTCGTATTACTTTGGTGGTTGATGGAATAAAAAGGTTTGAACTTGAAATGGTCAACAGGAGGCTAAAGATACTGTATATGGCCACATACTGATTTGATGAGTAAAATTCATTATCTTCTACACTATGTAACATGGTTGTGATGGATTCTACCAGATTATAGAGCGAACCATTCACACAAAGTCGACAAAGACTAAAAGGTCATAGCAGCGCAGTTGAGTCGCTGCCCCTCCCCACCCCCACCCCGGGCCATGGGGTGTAATGACGTATATAGAAATGTTTTCCGCCCAGAAAGAGAGTGACTTTTCTTCCCATTCATGCCCCTTGGTGTCACAGAGCCTGTCCTATGCTGCGGTGGTGTCACGCCTAGAGAACGACCAGCAACACGTCGTATTTTACTCGTTGTCAGCGGCTGGCGATGTCGCATGTTCTATATTCCAGGATGTGAGCGCTTTTAACTACCCCAAAACATCTAAAACTTGCCCTAAGCGTAACCCCCCCCCCCTCCCCCACACCCACAACCCCACAGCCTTATCACTCTCTCGTGAGACGAAGGCTTCACTATCTTTTGGGACGTAGGCTGCACTCTCTCGTGGGACGTAGGCTGCACTCTCTCATGAGATTTCCTTCCCTAGGACTTAGTGGCTCTCGAGGAAGTAATCCTAGTCATGACCCAGATTTAATGGCGCGATTCAGATCACACAAAAAGAGAACGAAATCTGAGTCGCTACCTGGGTCAGCCTACCCCTAGATAGTATCAGGAACTTAAAGTGGCCTTACCATTTGTGTGTACCGACTAGTGGCTTAAGGCATGCACTTTGCACTCCAACAGCCGTCAGCTCTTTACAGCAAGACAAATAAATCAAATAAAAAGCCCCTCCCCGTCCCCGCCCCTTCTGCTTCTTGGGAATAGTAAATATTATAGTGGTGCTTTTGTAATGTACTTCAGTATGTGTATATATATGTATGTATGTATATACATATATATGTGTGTATATATATATGTGTGTATATATTTGTGTGTGTATATATTTATTTATATAAGTGTGTGTGTGTATATATATATATATATATATATATATATATATATATATATATATATATATATATATATATATATATATACTTGCCTATTCATCGTGTTTTTAATTGTCCCAGTAGAGACTGTCAAGACTACGAACCATGCCACTGATGCTCTGAGCCTGCCCCAATATGACATGGTGACCAAGACAAAAGCACATACAGACATCAGGGTGGAATCTTCTCAGCTTTCGCAACTGGTCTCAGATGTCTCGAAAAGTAAACCTACTGTTGGCGTTGCATACAAAGCAACCTCTACTCAGGCTAATGCTACAGCTGTTATCAGTAGCGACCAAGTTGGAAGTTGGAAATCTGCCACGCTTTTAATACAGGAAATAACTGAACTGACGAAGGCTCAGTTGGAGTTAAACAAGAAGGCGAAGCCATTTTTCGTGAAAACACAGTGCGTGCTTAACTCAAAATCGAGTAAGTATATTAAGTAAGTAAATGACCTTCCCACGCCTTTAAGTCCATTGGACAGAGAGGGTTAGATCTATATTTCATAGACAATTCGTCATTCGGAGGACGATGTGGTAAAAATTTTGCCAGCCGCCTTTACTTCTCAGAACTTTACCTGGTACCTATTGAAAACTACTTATAATACTATATGCTTTCTTCTTCACCTTTTCCGCTCTTTATGGAGTATAGAGACCATAAGGATAAGAAGAAACTCCACAGGGGAGCCTGTACAGCAGGAGTCTGCCAGTCGTCAGTAGAAGTAATCTCTCGTCGAAAAATGTTTCGGCCCACGATCTACTAGAAAAGATCTACTGCCCTTTAACGAGGAGATCGAAAAATGCGGTGTTTGCTTCAAAACTGTTGCGAATGTAGATATCAGTATGCATGCATATGTATATTTGAATGTGTACACGACCATTCATGCCATTATTATGTTTCTTTCTATACTCATATTATTAAATTTGCTATGAACATAGGATAATGTATAAACAACATACCTTGGAGATGCGTGTTTGGAAAGGCTGTAGAGAGGACGGGCTTGCATGTCCAATCTGTGACCCTTTCAAAATAAAGTCGTTCTTCCGTCCGTTCCATTTCTTGTAACTGTCATTTTATGTATTGTGTTATTGTCTTTTCTGTCTTTTTTTTTTTTTTTAAATCATGCTGTTGTTAGTTTACATCCTTATAAGTAAAGGAGGTGAGCTTAACAGCATTACATTACAAGTTCCACAGGTTCAATATGGGGTAGAAAAAGTTGATTTAATAATTCAGATACAAAGGGTCATGTAAAGTCAGTCGGTCTGTGAAATAACCCAACTACTTTTCTTCTTCTTCTTCTTCTTCTTCTTCTTCATCATCTTCTTCTTCTTCTTCTTCTTCTTCTTCTTCTTCTTCTTCTTCTTCTTCTTCTTCTTCTTCTTCTTCTTCTTCTTCTTCTTCTTCTTCTTTTTCTTTTTCTTTTTCTTCTTTTTCTTCTTCTTCTTCTTTTTCTTTTTCTTCTTCTTCTTCTTCTTCTTCTTCTTCTTCTTCTTCTTCTTCTTCTTCTTCTTCTTCTTCTTCTTCTTCTTCTTCTTCTTCTTCTTCTTCTTCTTCTTCTTCTTCTTCTTCTTCTTCTTCTTCTTCTTCTTCTTCTTCTTTTCTTCTTCTTCTTCTTCTTCTTCTTCTTCTTCTTCTTCTTCTTCTTCTTCTTCTTCAATAGTTGTAAAGGCCGACAGTGAGTTCTAGTATGTGCCTTCACCTTTGCCCCTGGCATAACTTATTTTACACAGATTTTGGTAATTCCACAGACTAATGCATGTTTTAGTTGTCGCAACAACTTCTTTGAGCAGAGCGATTTGACGTTACCGCTATAATGATTACTTGGGGCTTAATGAAGCAATCCCTCGTGGGATGCAATTTCCTGTTATTTGAAGCCTCACCCTGGCTTTTGCCCTGAATATAGCCCGGCCATAAATATGGCCTAATAGCTGAGAGTGGTTTCTGGGACCTCTCCGCGGGTGATCCTCATCCGCATGGTGACACTTTGTATCACCGGGTGTTTATCGCTTGTGTGATGTCCTGGTGGGGTGCAACTACCTACCTGCTTGAGACACTTACCTTCCTAGAACTATGTATTTGATAGGGGAGGCAAATCAAGTGATATAATGTGGATATACTCGGAGTTAGTGACTGCTAATCGACTGGCTCAGGTAAGACGCTTCTTAATTGACCTGGAAATGGGTTTTTATATAATTATTGTTTTTCTAGTACATTTTGTTTTATTTCTGCCGTATCTCAAACATGTCCTTTTTCTGAAGTTTACACACACACACATATTTTCTGAAGTTTACGCACACAAATGCACACACACACACACGCACACACTCCGCATATACTAACTCGTCCCCATGTGGGATGCATTATTTTGTTAATTTGAAGCCCACCCTGGCTGTTACCAGTTGCCGCAATATAACCTAACGGTTGAACACGGTTTCAGGGACCCCTTCACAGGTGATCCTCATCCGCATGGTGGCACCTTGTGTCATCGGGTGTTTATCGCCATGTGTGATATTCTTGGTGGGGGTAAAGTTTACTTACTTACTTACGTACGCACCCTGTCGTGAAATGATAGTCATTACACATCGGTTTGTAAGGCTGATAACCTGTCTTACCTGTAATCTGCACAAAATTCAAACTTGGACTCGCCCAGAAATATATAGTCCCTTATATCTATATATATAGGCCTGTATTGGACAACATTATTATGTCTGCCTTTTCTGGTTACTTTAACTAAACTCCACTTTTAAATGTATTTCTTTTGGGGATATATTTAGGGAGTTAATTGAGGTTTCTTGGAAACCGATTTACTCCTTGCCCCAGTATACAAGGAACTTCTTTTGTACCAACGCCTGAAATGTCTAACTGACGCCATTCTCCTTGCCAGCTTCTCAAGCCTCCAGATGTGTTAATCTGTGCCTGTATACTTTAAATTTTCAAGGCAATCTGGAAAGATCTCAGTTTTACATATGCTTGGGATGTATATTTTCTGAAGAGCTGGCAGAAGATTCACAGTCTCAACAACATCCACCCACCAATCCAACCACCAGAACCAACTTGTTACCCACCAGATAACACCTGTGAAGGTTCCTGACATCTCCAAAAATGGGGGAGATTGTGCCTCAAACAGCTACCAGTGCCAGAGTAATGTGGCTCTAAGACATTGTGTGTCCTTACTGGTGATATAGACATGCTAGATACCAGTACAGTTGCTGTACAGTGAAGTACTCTTGCTACTTGATCCAGTGGAGCAGAATTCCCAGAGTCAAAGACAGTCAAATCATCCGGAGCTGAGGGAGGCATCATAGACAGAGAAAAGAGAAGATAAGTCTAATGCTTCACATGATGTTGTGTTCCTCACAGCTCCCTGTGTCCAATGATGAGAAGATGTCACCTCCAGGACCGGCTGTCTGCCTAGTTTCCTTAGGATCTAGACATTAGTGCTGAAATTCTTTCACTGATAGCTGGAATTCACTTCAATTGTTTTTGTACAGATATTATACTAAATACATGCATTCATTTTCATGGCTGACTTAGGTTTCTCTATGTCACCTTCTTAAGTGTTTAGCAGTTGTATGTGTATGTATCTTCATTATATGTGTTAACATGGTTATGATAATGAACTATCATAACCTGGGGGCTTTCTTTAGTAAGTAGTGGGGGTGTCCAGCCAAGTGTGCCTAGAAATATATATATATATATATTGACATATTTTGTAGTGCCAATACTTGAGTTGCCCTACTCCAGAGATAAGTTAATCGTATATTGGCCACGGGGAATCCCTTAGACCAATACGAGCCAAACGACTCAACAAAATTATCTCTGAGTGCTGCTGGTTCTGAAGGAGAAATCCTTACATTAGGCACGCGACAGGAGTGATATGTGACACACCCACATACACGCAAACACACTAAGATGTTTTCACAACAGGAAAGTCGAAGAGTTCTCTTAGAAATGATACCAGATAATTTCCTGAATATTTTAGAAGCTGTCAGGGAAGATAGCTTTTGTCTAGAATCGGCAGTGACTGTATCTGCTAGGAAAATAGCTTCACCTATTTACCAGAGGGGGAAAAAAGAGTTGAACTACAACTATTAAGTAATGAATGATTTTACCTCTAAATCTCTTCAGAATACGCTTGTGTTCACCCAAACTGTAGACAGCTGAGCAACAACGTCACGGAAAGAGTCCAAAGTTTGATGTCTGAGAAAACAGTCTTGTACAAAGAGCAAGATGACCTACTTAAATCCATCTCGCTGAAAATTCCCGAAAACGACGTCATTCTTGTGTCCGGTGCCTCAAGCAACCACTACGATGAAATGCAGGCTATGCTGCACTCCCTCCATAGCATGGTCTTTCCAGAACTGTCACAGAAAGAAAACTTCTCGCTGGTTCTGTGGGATATTGGGTTAACTTCAGATCAACGACAACAGGTTGGTTGTTTCTGATATAAAGAAATAAGTAAGGTATTGTAGGATCATTGGTATTGTCTCTGAATTCAAAGTGATGTTAGAAACATTCCTTTTTTTTTTAAATTTAATAAATTGTTCCAATTGTAATCTTAAACAGGTACATATCTCTTTCAATTGTTTGTGACTACAGAAAAACTGTGACTACATGAAACTTTAAACTACGAGGACGAGCTTGCGTTGCTTTTTTTCCCCCTGTAAAATGCAGACTGTGTCTAATCTCAGGCCAGTTTTCCCCTTGACTCTGGGTACTTTTCGAAACCAGGCGTTTGTCCTCATCCTGGCTTGGTCCACGATGACCGCCAACTATTTCAGGACTTTATTGTGGCTCCAAGTATATCGCCCCTGGCCTAGGGCTTTACTGAACGCGGACAATACGTGCTCGAGCATCTGCACATTGGCATGTCAGATCGGTAGTCGCATGCCATTTCACCATGTTGACGCCAAAAGATACCCATATTGTACTCATATCTTACGACAAAGCTCAGCCGCAAAGGGGCCATTCGCTAGATCTCACTCCGTGTGAGTATTCGTGGCACTGAGCTCTCAAAGCCGATCCACTGGCCTTGCTGCGACTGCTGGGCTGCTTTCTGGACCCGAGTCTAGTTTTTAGTGTCTATTATCTGCTGTATTAGCATGTCTCTGTGCTCTTTGGTCGTGGCTTTAGACCGCCAGCTGACTTTCCAAGCCCTAGGCCGCGTCGATCGGTTTGTGTGTAACCCATGCTTCCTGAGCTGCTTCTATCGTATCTTGGACCTTTCATTTCTTGCCTGTCTTTAGAGCGGGCTAGATAGCTGCCACCGTAGGGTCAAAAGATTCGTTCAGTATCATCGCAAGACTTAACTTGCAGACTTTAAACTCTTCGGTTACTGATTTGAACCGAATCCCCAAATTTTAGAACATCATATGGACGATGTGTAACAAAAATTAAGAGTAGAATTCGCCAGTCACAGGCAGCTTTTCAGAAAATGAAAAAAGTATTTCATGTAATAAATTACTCTCATTAAACATCAGTAAACGAGTATTGAAATGTTATATCGAGTCTGTTCTGGTGTATGGCAGTGAATCTTGAAATGTGAGCATACAAATAAGGAAGAGTTTGGAGGCAACTGAGATGTTTTTCTTGAGAAGAATGTTGAGAATACCTTGGACTGCCAGAATAACCAACATTGTATACCTGAAAATAGATAATAACAGTGGAATTATATGCAACAGTTGAAAGGAGACAAAGTTTTTTGGTCATGTGATAAGAAAAGGAGCACTGTAAAATACTGTGACGACTGGAAAGATCACTAGTAGAAGAGGTAGAAGTAGACCAAGAGAAAAAATGGTAAATGGCTTAAGACAGTGGCATGGAGGAATATCATCAGTAGAATTGATCCAAGACACCAAAGACCGAGATCTGTGGCGACGCATGTACGCTTACGCCAGCTAGCAAAGCAGTTGATGATGATGACGATGAATAAATGCATGGGATTTCAGTAGCAGTTGTAATCCTGTGACAGTGTTCTTGCCTGGATAGTCGCCAGGTTTGTTACGACTACGTATACGACCATAAACTGTGTATGGCCGAAACACCTTTCCCTTGCTACTGCTGAACACTACACGACTCCTCCATTATCGACTCAAACAGCTGCACCAACATTAAGCCGAGAATTTAAGTAAAGTAATATGTTTAATGGTAAGACAGCTTCTGAACAATACGTATCGATACCACCCATTCCGCTCATCTGTAATTCTCCATAGAGAAGGCCTTCGGGGAAATCAAACCGGCCAATAAAATAGCTAATACCTGCAGTTAGTTAAACAAACAAAAAAGTACCATGATTGCGTTTAGAGGTTGTACTTAAATTGGAGTGACTCTGGGATCTGGCCAACACCATACTCACAGAAAGAGATAGGGAATGTAACAACTCTCGCAGGACTGAAATTTGTCCTATGGTTGTCACAATGATAAGCACAACACTGAGTCCACACACTAAATGAATACATTGTAATCGCCCTGTAGTGATATGTATCTCCATGTACGATATTTGGGGCCTTTTGAATACATTACGGTAGCAATGTGTTGCATGGAGTTTTTTAAAGCAACCTGTTCAAACATTTTTATACTAATTTATTCAGAAACGCAGTGATGCATGAAGGTTATATATGATGTAGGAAATTACAACCGGTTTTCAAAGTGATTCCTATTAACCTCCTCTAGACAATTTTCATTATCGCATACAGCACAAAGCTACCGTAATTCTGTCTAAATAAGGCAGAAAATGTCCCGTAAAGATAACGCTTTTAAGCAAGTAAAGGAAAGTTAAGATCCCTTTTCACGCCTGTAGGCACATCGGGCATAAAGGAAGAGCACCTACAATTTTACAGACCAATCGGCACTAGGTGGGTAATTTTGTCAGCATTACGCCGGTTGTCTTTACTTCCCCAGGACATACATCCTGGTACCTATTTTAGGCTGGGTCGACCCGCGACGCCCCGTATCATGATAAAAATCCACGCAGCCAGCAGTGGGTTTTCAATCGCGGTATGTTGGAATTACGACTCGGACTCACAACGCCTAAGCCACAGACGCCGCTTTCAAACAAGTTGTCTCTATGAAAATGCTCTTGCAGTTCGCTGATGGGTAATTACAGATTTATTTGAATAATTCTGTATTAATTATACTTCATCTGAAATTGTGTGTTGCATAATGGTAAGGTAATTTCCTAAACATTTATCACAGGTAGAAAAATGTTGTCTCTGTCAAGTGATATCTTTCCCTTTCGAGAAGTTCCCACAGCCCACCAGGGATTTACACACCTATATGTGGAAACCGCTACTTATCCGGGTAAGTATTGTTACCAATCATACCAGTCATACAACCACAGCTGCTACTGCTACTACAATTGCTACTTTTGCTACTACTACTGCTGCTACTACTACTACTACTACTACTACTACTACTACTACTACTACTACTACTACTACTACTACTACTACTACTACTACTACTACTACTACTACTAATACTACTACAAATGGTGCTGCTCCTACTGCTACTACAAATGCTACTACTACTGCTACTGCTGCTGCTGCTATTACTACTGCTACTGTCACTGCTGCTGCTACTGCTACCGCTTATGATAATGCTACTTCTACTACTACTACTACTGCTACTATCGCTACTGCCGCTGCTGCTGTAACTACTATCACTACTGCTGCTACAGCTACTACTAGTACTACTTCTGCTACTACTATTACTGCTGCTTCCGCGACTAATACTAGAAGCACTACTTACGTCTTTTCATAATATAAGAAACGAAATAAGAAATCAATTACTTCACAAGCAATAAAAAACAATGGATCAAGGGACAGAACTAAAGATTAGAGGCGTCCGTGGCCTAAGCGTTGCGAGTCTGACTCCTAATACCAACGTACCGCAATCGAAACCTATATTATGGGGTGCCGTAGGTCAACCTAGCCTAAGCTAGGTCCTAGAATGTAAGCCCTGGGGAAGTAAAGACGCCGGCGTAATGCTGACCACATTACCCACCTAGTGTCGATTGGTCTGTAAAAATATGGGTGCTCTTCCCGTATGCCCCATGCGCCTAAAGGCGGGAACAGGGATCTTTAATTCTTTTACGTTTCATTACTAAAGATTAGATGCCGATTATGTAATAAAACATCGAACGTTGCAAAGATGACACTGAGATTCAACACTGCCGCATCAAAATAACGAAATCGGTTGCTGTGATGGTGATCATTATTCATCACAATGTGTTGTGAAGTAAAATAAAGGAAAGGACCCTTTTCCACTCTTTCAGGCGTATTGGGCATATAGGGTTAGACCTATATTTTATAGGCCGATCGGCACTTGGTAGGTGATGCATCACAAAGAATGCTCAAGATTCACTTTATCACCATAAATTATCCACACCACCAGGATCGCCATCGCAGATTGTCCTCCCCACTAGATTTACCATAACAAAGTAACTTCACCGCTAGTTTCCCCATAACAAAGTATCCTCACCAGTAGCTTCACTATCATAAGGTATTCTCACCACTATCTTCACCATAACAAATTGTAATCACCATTAGTTTCCCCATAACAAAGTATCCTCACCATTAGCGTCACTATTACAAAGTATAATCATTACTAGCTTTTCATAACAAAGTATCCTGACCTCTAGTTTCCCCATAGCAAAGAATCCTCACCACTAGCCTCACTATCACAAAGTATTCTTACCACGAGTTTCACAATAACAAAGTAACCTTACCACTAGTATTACTATCACAAAGTATTCTTACCACTATCGTTACTATCCTCACCACTAGCTTTACCATAACAAAGTATCATCGCCGCTATCATTACCATCGCCATGTACCCTCAACAGTAGGGTCGTTATCACAAATAATCATCACCACAAATTTCATCTTTAAAAAAACACATTATCACCGCTACATTTATCATCCCAATTTATCAACATTTTGCTAAAACCATAATGACATCATCTCCACTGCTATAACCATCTTCCTACTCTCCATTATTATAAACATCATCATTTCCAAAACTATAACCATCATAATCACTACTGCAAAACAATCACCATCATTACAACAATACCATCATCATTACTCTTACAAAAACCACCTTAATAATACAACAATAATGATCATTATTGGTTCTACAATAACCATCTTCTGCTGCAAAAGCAATCCTCATCACTACTGCAAAAACCAATATCAGCACTACTACAATGAACGTTATCATCACTAATGCAAAAACCATCTTCATTACTATATTAAAAGACATCATCATTACTACTACAATAACCATCATCACTGCTACAATAACAATCATCATCACTTCCACAATACCCATCATCATCACTGCTACAATAACCATCATCACTGCTACAAAACCAATCATTACTACTACAATAACCATCATCACTGCTACAATAACCATCATCACTGCTACAATACTCATCATTACTACTACAATAAACATCATCACTGCTACAGTAACAATCATCATCACTTCCACAATAGCCATCATCATCACTGCTACAATAACCATCATCACTGCTACAATACCCATCATTATTACTACAATAATCACCATCACTGCTACAATAACCATCATCACTGCTACAAAACCCATCATTACTACTACAATAACCATCATCACTGCTACAATAACAATCAGCATCACTTCCACAATAGCTATTATCATCACTTCTACAATAAAGATCATCCTCACTACTACAATAAAGATCATCCTCACTGCTACAAGAAAGATGATCATCACTACTACAATAACCATCATCATCACTTCTACAATAAAGATCATCCTCACTACTACAATAAAGATCATCATCATTAATACAATAAAGATCATCATCACTACTACAATAACCATCATCATCACTACTACAATAAAGATCATCCCCACTACTACAATAACCATCATCATCACTAGTACAATAAAGATCATCATCACTACTACAAAAAAGATCATCCTCACTCCTACAATAAAGATCATCATCACTACTACAATAACCATCATCATCACTACTACAATAAAGATCATCCTCACTACTACAATAACCATCATCATCACTACTACAATATCCATCATCATCACTACTACAAAAAAGATCATTATCACTACTACAATAAAGATCATCATCACTACAACAATAAAGATCATCCTCACTACTATAATAAAGATCATCATCACTACTACAATAAAGATCATCCTCACTACTACAATAAAGATCATCCTCAATACTACAATAAAGATCATCATCACAACTACAATAAAGATCATCCTTACTACTACAATAAAGATCATCTTCACTACTACAATAAAGATCATCATCACTACTACAATAAAGATCATCCTCACTACTACAATAAAGATCATCATCACTACTACAATAACCATCATCATCACTACTACAATAAAGATTATCCTCACTACTACAATAACCATCATCATCACTACTACAATAAAGATCATCCTCACTACTACAATAACCATCGTCATCACTACTACAATAAGGATCATCATCACTACTACAGTAAAGATCATCATCACTACTACAATAACCATCATCATCACTACTACAATAAAGATCATCCTCACTACTACAATAAAGATCATCCTCACTACTACAATAAAGATCATCCTCACTACTACAGTAAAGATCTTCCTCACTACTACAATAAAGATCATCCTCACTACTACAATAAAGATTATCCTCACTACTACAATAACCATCATCATCACTACTACAATAAAGATCATCCTCACTACTACAATAAAGATTATCCTCACTACTACAATAACCATCATCATCACTACTACAATAAAGATCATCCTCACTACTACAATAAAGATCATCCTCACTACTACAATAAAGATCATCCTCACTACTACAATAAAGATCATCCTCACTACTACAATAAAGATCATCATCACTACTACAATAAAGATTATCCTCACTACTACAATAAAGATCATCATCACTATTACAATAACCATCATCATCACTACTACAATAAAGATTATCCTCACTACTACAATAAAGATCATCATCACTACTACAATAACCATCATCATCACTACTACAATAAAGATTATCCTCACTACTACAATAAAGATCATCCTCACTACTACAATAAAGATCATCATCACTACTACAATAAAGATCATCATCACTACTACAATAACCATCATCATCACTACTACAAGAACGATCTCCATGACTACTGAAATAACAGTCATGATTACTACTGTAATTGGTGCGTTAGCGCAGTTAATAGAAGACTCGCTTTCAAATGTAGCTACGACTGGCTGCAGCCTTTGGCCGGTGTCTGAAACCGAGCGGTTCCAGGCGTTCACCCAGCCTCTAGGTAATGGCTAACAGAGTTAACATTCTGAGATAGATGGAGGAACGTCGTTGTAGCTACACAGTTGTGTGCGGATGGCTACACAGGCGGACATTTTCTTATCACCTGTCTGTACTGGTGGCAGAACACTTATGGTTTTTAACAGTGTGCAGTGACGTTGGTTCACATCTCGCGACAGTACCTTACCTTTGTTACTACTACAATAACCATCATAACCACTAATGAAGAAGCCATCATCATCACTACTACACTAACCATCTTCATTACTATTGCAACAACCATCTTTTATAAAGGCTACAATAAACATCTTCATTACTACTGCAACAACCATCTTCCTAACTACTACTATAAGAATATCCATATTTATCACTAATGTAATAAGCATCTTTATCACTACAACAATAACCATCTTAATCTCTACTACAAAAGCCATATTCGTCATCACTACAATAGCCATGGTGGTCTCTACTGCAAAAATCCCTATCTCCAGCACTACTACAATAGCAATTTTCTTCACTGCTGCAATAACTGTCATTGTTATTACTACAAGAACAATCATCATCACTCCCACAATAATCATCTTTATCACTACTACAATGACCATCTTTATCAACAAAGATGTCAAGGCCGTGTGAGAGCGTATAGTATGGTAAGGCATGAACAGATTACCACTGCCTGAGGAAAATGGTAAAGTTGGCAGTGCCCAAGCAATCAGACTGCCACCCAACACTTAGGGTGAATCAAGATGGACAAACAACCAGACTGTTCCTGGTACCATCAAAATTGGAACTCCGTGCCTGCTGCTGAAAATCACAAAGCGGCGTGTAGGGGAATGTCCCGAATGTTATGATAGTAGCTCTTAGTTCATCTGAACCCGGCGAAACATTACAGTGACAGTATATCTTTGACATGAATAAATGACATTGTAGCTGCTAGCTTTTAGCATGTTTAAAATTGCCATATGTTTTTCTTTCTATACATTGGAACAAAACCCAGATGACTCTGTTTCGTGCTAGAAAGTATGTCGTCTACCAGGACGCATCCATCAGATACAAACAGTTTCCTGGGCCAGTTTATGAGAATGGCATGCAGCATGGACTTCAACTAATGAGAGAAATGGATGATTCTACAACTGTTCACAGAACACTCCCAGAGGTCAGTATTTTGGTTTAATGTACGGTATTTATCCCCCCCCCCTTCTTCCCCACCCGCAGATCCCATTAGAAACACACATTTTAAACCATAATTTCCCTAAGATTTTTGGGACACATCTATTTTCCCAGCATTAAAATAACATTTTACCTTTTTTTAAAAAGCCCAACCAATAAAAACAACACATAAACCACGCCGCCATCTTTGCGTAAAAACCAGCTTAATGAACGGAGGAAGCACCGACACCATCAGACCTCACAGTAGAAGCCAACACCAGGAGATCCCACCCACACTCGCTCCAGGCCGCCCAGGCAATCTTTTCAGGACTAACGGACCTCCCGCCTAAACAGCCCTATCACAAGCCGCTGAGATAGACAACGTCGAACATGTTACACACACACACACACACACACACACACACACACACACACACACTCACACACACACACACAAACTCGGGCGAAAGTGATCGCCACAAATAAGCGAAACTCAAATCAGAAAGCAAAGAAACCATCCTCTATAAAGCAGGTCTTTGGGCAGCTGAAAGATGACACAGTTAGATCATTTCGGTGATCTGTCTCGGTACGTGGAACATGCAAAGGGCTTGACACAATATCCTTGCCTCCGTGATAGACGTCTTGGGCCTCTTCAGGCGAGGGGGTTCACCCTGCCCATCGTTCCCTGACGACTCATTACCCAGAGAAGTAGCTATGCGACGACGCTTAATGCGTGGCTCACCCTCGCATCTCATCTTTCCGACATGCGTTTTCAAACCATGCTTTTTTCCACATGTACAATGCCAACCCGGATGTTGGGCAGAAATCTATGTCCGGGAGTTAGCGGGGTCGTTACCGTTGGTATCAGTCGGGACAGGTCCATTATTCTCACTCTCTTTCGATAGACCCTGAGGGCATATTTTATTTTTGGTTAACGAAATCTGAGTTATTATACTGTGTTAGGGGTAATCGGCCCGGTCCACAGTCGACCCTCTGTTGTCAGAGGGCCAGTTTACATCCCAGCGCTGCCGGGCGTCAGTCTTTCCAGGGCGTCAAAAGGTCTATCTCGATAGTCACCAGTCTATATTGGTTGTCCCATGTAAAATAAGAAGAACACCACACGGGAGCGTGTATAGCAGCATGATATAATATCAAAAGTATTAAGAAACAAATATTATTGTGAGGAGACATATAGAAGCCTGAAATATGATACAATATCGAAATGATCTAGAAATGAATTTATTTTCTTGTTCTCATTCACCCGAGTGACGTGTCTATTTAAAGCAAAGCTGCTATATTTGCCTCTGTAGGCCAACACATCCCACAAGCATTAACGCCTCAAGAAAGGACGAATACACCAGCAGACATGCATGGCATCTCTAAGTTTGTCGTCACACTCGGGAGGTCATGCAGGAATCACATTCCTGCTGCCGTAGACACAGAGATAGGGTAACTGATAGATCAGCATTCAGACCAAGAAGATATGATCATCAGATGGATCCGTGATCAAGGTCAACATGGGCTTACGTAGCGCAAAGAAGGGAGCAAACAATACAAGAGGACAGCGACGCTTACCAGACAACCGCGTCAAGCATGACCATAGAAATAGCCGCTGCTTCCAGAACATGAGCATGGTTATTCGAGCAAACCGCCACCAGACAGTGATTGTATCAGATTCCGTGAACATAGTTCAGAAGATAGTAACAGGCGTTATGTGCTCTGAATGGGTAGAAAGCATTCGAAAATCGCACTCAACCTCCCTCACCATGACCTACACACCTGGCCATGTGGGCGTAACGGGTAATAGGCGAGTGGACCTATTGGCAAGCAATACACCATAGCATGTGGGAAGAAGCAAGGACAGAGCAGATATGGTCAGCTGTTAACGGGCTGGTCTAGTGGATAATGAGGAATCCCTCACACTAACAGAATTGCATGACATGGGAGTGATGAATAGTGAAGCATGTATATACCGTCTTCGATGTCGAAATAGGAGACAAAATAACCACCTTCTCGTGAGAACAATTAGTAGAAGTACTTTGGAGTGGCTGCTGCATCGGAGGACTGAGCAGGCATGGGAATGCCAATGTGCAGTGATGTCGATAGTGATAACATACCATCACCGTCATTCCCCTTGTGGGATGCATTTTTTTTTTTTTGAAGTCTCACCCTTGCTGTTGCAGGGCCGCAATATAACCTAACAATTGAACGCGGTTTCGGGGGCCTCTACCCGGGTTATCCTCATCCGCATGGTGGCACTTTGTGTCACCGGGTGTCAGAGGCAAGTTCAGTTTGGGGATGAGTAGGTGTGATGATGGTGAATTATCATGTATGAACGAGTTGACCCTCAATCAAACTCAGAGCGAGATCAGGCAGTTTAACCACGCAATAAACTGTGTCAGCTGAGTTGGGCTAAGCCTTGCGCTCGACGAGTATCACGAGGATACAGCGTGTCAGAGATGAACGCTGAAGAGGAACAAAAGGCTCGGACAGAGGTTGTTCGGGGAGACGTGTGAATGACACTTGGACTGCGACTGTAAACGTATCTTCTATTAGTGACCATTAGCAAAGATAGTATTTGTCGTAGGCTTTAGGTATGTTGTGTTTCTATTAGGGCTGTACCGAATATTCGCTCCGTATTCGCTTCGGGGCCGAATAGTGGACCTAATAACTATTCGGTATTCGGCCGAATAGTTGCGGTCGTGCCGAATACGAATAGTGGTTACCTTACTCCCGTTTCTGCATACACTGTGATGGACTGAAATAACTCTCTCACAATAGTTTCTGTTGCCTTAGTCTGTCGTAGCGGGGAAAACTGCGACCCGGTTGCTTGGTACAAACTGCATAAAATACCAACCGCAGTGTGTGTGTGTGTGTGTGTCTGTGCGCGTGTGTGTCCGTGAGTGTGTGTGTCTGTGAGTGTGTGTGTCTGTGTGTGAGAGAGAGAGAGAGGGAGAAAGAGAGAGATCATGCATTTTTTTAAGGGTGTCTTCGCCCATATCAAATTTGAAGGTATTGCTAACGAGAATATGAAGGTGCGTGTAAATTACATCAAACGAACGGCCGAGCGAACGATGGTTTTGAAAGAGGCGGGAGCCCGAAGACAGCTAATTACAGACATCAGAAGAAGACAGTCGTCATTTTTCAGCCATGTTATGAGAAGAGGAAAAATTGAACATTTGGTGACCACTGGAAAGATCTGTGGAAAGAGGGATAGAGGAAGAGAACGATAGAAGATTCTTGACAGTCTTGTTGCAAGGCATAGAGGTGCGTCAGCACACGAACTGATACATGCGGCAGGAGATAACACATTGTGGAGAGGCATGATCGCACACGCCAGTCGGCAAGTCACCTGATGATGATGATGCACTATTCGTATTCGGCCGAATAGTTGATCCCACTATTTGTATTCGGCCGAATAGTGAAAATCACTATTCGGTACAGCCCTAGTTTCTATACGGTGCTTTGAAAAGATTGTTCATCTCTAATCTTTCAAGCAAAATCTGTTAGGCAGATAGTTCGTGTTGACATGCATTGTTGGTGGCGTTAACACTGCCCACTCTTATTTGGATCACTCACCCTGCGTGTGCCACTGAGTCTCACGTGGCGAGAACGGCAGCTTATTTAGCGCTGTACGACAGTGAGGTGGAATCGAATGCTCTCGTTTATACATGGGAACGGCTCGGGTGGATTAGTGAATGTAAAAGCTACCACCGCCCGCGTTTTGGATTAAAGAACGTCTTTTACTGTTGAGGCTTGCTTTAGGTTAAAATTGTTCTTTGTACATTAAAGATTATGTGTGTACTCCGTAGGGGTGTGTTTCAAGTATGTATTTTGTGCGCCTTCTTTAGCAGGTGGAGAGCCGTTTTACACAGAGAGATCGAACAAAACATGTTGAATTGAGCCTAGTGCAATAAAGTCAGTCCACTCTATTGAAGTCAATTTTTTTTTTTTTTTGAATCTTCTCCAACAGTGAAGAGAGAAACATAAAATGTTAACACGTTTCAAATATAAAATTTGTTAGAGTATGTACGAATGGCCATCGCATTCAGACAACAACAACAAAACATGCTCCATTCATCCATAACAAACGAGTGCAATGACAGTGAAGTTACAAAGAGCTGTCTGTTACAGAATTTATGTTTGCAGAAAATGGAACTATTGCAGAACATGGAAATAGTAGACATTCATGAACATTTTTGTATAAATTATGGGGAAGGTGCCGTGGATAAAAACACCACTGGTAGTTGAGCTCAGACACCGCCCTCTCCAGATAACCCACCCCAACCATTTTCGTCACATCCTATTCGGGGGCCGAAGCTCTTCATTGTCTGGCGTGTTTACATTCATATTTAGTTGCTGCGTTGTGGATACTGCTTCATTACCTATGCTCTGTTGAGTGTGGTTGTAAAAATTGCCAGGAAATGATGTTTTCTTTTACGTAAATAAGTGACTATTTATTTAAAATCTCAAGTGATTTTGATTTGAGGGAGAAATAGAAAAAAATTGCATACCACGTAAAGAATAATCCTACTAAATACACAGCGTAGTATGTCGTCGTCCTCATTGTCGTCCCTGTGATAGGACTGTATAAGATAAATGTAGATATATATATGATGTTGAACATGAGTTACCCAGAATGTATCCTATTTTATAATCAAATGTGTGTCTGTTTGTGTTTCCTGATCTGACAGCCTGCTTATCATTTGTGCACAATCAGTGAAAGCAGACTTTGCACAATCACTAACTGTTAGTGTATAAGTTTTATCAGACATGTGTGTAGAAGTGTATCTTGAAAATAAACATTTCGCTTGTAAAGATCTTGACTAGATTATTACTAAAAGTAAATTGGAAAGATGGTCACAACTAGAAAATCTACAGATTTATTACAAGGAGACTGACCCTCCAACATCTCCGAACAGCGTCGGTGATTTATTAGAAGCCTGCATGAAAACTTTACACAATTTCAGTAACAACGATACGAAATTGCTTCAGACAATCAACAATGCTCAAGAGTGTGGCTTTACTGTTTTGGTAGTGATTGTAGACAACTACTTTGTTAACCGCAACGTTTACAACAATTTTTTCAAGTCCAACAGTACATGCATAGAAAATCCAGGCATTCCAGGCAAAAAAATTTTAAAAAATCTTTTTGCTGTCTGACTCCGTTTACCTGCTAAAACGTATTTGGAGAAATTGAATACATAAGAAAGATACAGAACAAACATGTCCATATCCTTCCATAGCTGGGCTAGTTTTGCATCCAGCATCCACCTTAAACTGTACTGTTCCAGTATGTTTTGCATGTAGCATCTACTTCAAACAGTACTGTACCAGCAGAAATTGTGCATGTAGCATCTACTTCAAACAGTACTGTACCAGCAGAAGTTTTGCATGTAGTGTCTACCTCAGACTGTACTGTACCAGCAGAAGTTTTGCATGTAGCATCTACCTCAGACTGTACTGTACCAGCAGAAGTTTCGCATGTAGCATCTACCTCAGACTGTACTGGACCAGCAGGATTTGCATATAGAATCTACCTCAGACTACGGTACCAGTAGAAGTTTTGCATGTAGCATCTACCTCAGACTGTACTGGACCAGCATAAGTTTTGCATGTAGCATCTTCCCCAAACTGTACTGTAAGAGCAGAAGTTTTGCATGTAGCATCTACCTCAGACTGTACTGTACCAGCTGGATTTGCATGTAGCATCTACCTTATGCTGTACTGTACTAGCAGAAGTTTTGCATGCAGCATCTTCCTCAAACTGTACTGTAAAAGCAGAAGTTTTGCATGTAGCATCTACCTCAGACTGTACTGCACCAGCAGAAGTTTTGCATGTAGCATCTTCCTTAAACTGTACTGTACCAACAGGATTTGCATGTAGCATCTACCTTATGCTGTACTGTACTAGCAGAAGTTTTGCATGCAGCATCTTCCTCAAACTGTACTGTACCAACAGGATTTGCATGTAGCATCTACCTTATGCTGTACTGTACTAGCAGAAGTTTTGCATGTAGCATCTACCTCAGACTGTACTGTACCAACTGGATTTGCATGTAGCATCTACCTCAGACTGTACTGCACCGGCAAAAGTTTTGCATGTAGCATCTTCCTCAAACTGTACTGTACCAGCAAAGGTTTTGCATGCAGCGTCTACCTCAAAGTTTTCACACCTGCAGCAACTGCATCTCCACTGTGTCATGTATTTTTGTTTAAAGTTACCCAAAAACTCACAATGATAAGGAACTTATTTGCTCTAACAATAGGAAACTGGACAAATCTAAATTACATTTCTTCGGTAAACACTGATTTTTGCCCTCTCTCATCTATAGACAAACACGTTTGTCTATGTACATCATTACTTGTATGAAGTACAGAGAAGAAATATTAAGTTTTCTATAGTATTATTATAAAAAAATTGCTATGGAAGAAAGACTATTGCTTTCATACTGACTGTGCATACTCATTTTAAGTGGTGCACTTTCATTGTGGATACACTATATCAAGATTTTTTTGGAGAAGTCTAGGTAAGTGGAAACAATATCTTCTTAATTTACTTACTAACCTCTCACAGAAAGTCACTTGCCTCTTTACTAATTATTAACTTACAGTATAATTATATTGTGAAGCAGTGAACTAATATTAATTCTAAACCATTTGTGTTCATTTGTGTCTTCTTCTTCGCGTTCAGTGGCTGTAAACTCTGGCAGAAAGTTCTGGTTGTTTATCTACATCTTCACATAGCCTTTTACAAACCTGATTTATTTTTATGGAGACGGCTGGTTATTTGCCTCTCAGGCAGATGCATTCCGGCTTCGAAGGAAGCCAGAATGAGTCGACTCTTACGACATGCAACAATATTAAACCTCAACCATTTGTATTCATTTTTAGGAATCATCTTCTGTTCTGCGATCACTGGCTGTAAACTCTGGCAGAAACTGTTAGTTCTTCATCTACTTCTTATGTATATTTGCAGCTGTATAGTCTGTTTTAATGTGCTTTACTTACCTTTAAAATAATATACTAATTATGATACTTATACGCGTTTGTTACATGTAGTATTCAGAAATATGTGTAATGTTTTCAAACAGTTACCAAAAAAGTTCACAATGATAGTGAACTGTTTTCATCCAACAAGATGAAACTGGACAAATTTGTTTGTGCCGTTTGTACCTTGAGGATAAATATTTAGGGCAGCTTTCTAACACTCAGTACAATATATCAATTTCATATTGAATGTGCATAAAAAAATTAAAAACCTGTTTATAATTTACTAAACTTTTAAAGCAAGTCAGCTGCTTGTTTACTAATTGTTAACTAACAGTATAATTATTTGTTGTGGTAGTCTACTAATAGTAGTAACAACCATCAATCATTTATATTCATGTTATGAAAAGTGTATGTTTCACAGCAGTATATTTTATGTACAAATGTCACCCCCCCCCCCCCCACAACCCCAAGCCGTCTAATGCAATACCCCCTCAGAATCAAAGATTTAGCACTAATGTTTTATTTTTTATTTTTCCTGGAGTAGCTTCCAGTTTATTTTTACACGTTATTGACGTTTAAGTTCATGGTGACTGTAGCGATAAAAATTTTTGCTTGTCTGTAAGAGCCTTTATTGTTATATTTTAATAACACACTTATTTACCTTCAAAATGACATATAATTTTATAAAATATGTTGCAAACTATTGCAACTGTAGTTTAATTTGTGTATTCATCTCCTTGATAAAAACTGTGAACACAGAGCGGACTCCCGACTTGCACAATCACGGGAATCCACATTGACCTAGTTAGCCTATAAATAGATTCGGCCGTGGGCTCAGAGAAGTAACGTTTCAGAAAATGGAGAGACAGTCTTGTCTGATTGGCCACGAAGAAAGAAAGAAGTTTCGTCGCTGAACAGAGTGATCGGTGTGACACTGTGAGGTGTAACTGTGAGCTTGTGGATTTTACGTTGAATGTTGTGTGTGTGTGGATGTGTGTGTGTGTGTGTGTGTGTGTGTGTGTGTGTGTGTGTGTCTGCCATGACTTGTGTTTGAAACTACTAAACATGGTTGATTGCTGCCGGAACAGCGTGTACTTCATGCTTTATTACGTGTACCATGCAGCTATCGTAACCAACTGCTTGCATTAGAAGTGAGCTGTAATTCTAGAATGGGACTGATAGTACTGGCAGTGAAGAAATTATTATGCATGCAAGATGGAATCTATTACAGTCAAGGCGTGCATATTCTTTGCTGTGGCGTAAGATGACAATAGTAGGATGCGTAAAGAACATACACAGTTTTATAACGGGTGAATGTCCTACATTTTTCACAAAAGGTTAGCGATTCAAGAGATGCAGTGCTAATTTTCTGATTGTCACTCGTAACAGCTATATCGGAAACATAATTTGAAAAGCATGATGATCTGATTGGTTCATACAAACAGATATGAATATTATTGTGAAGATACTAAGGAACGTATGCGGAGTTGTAGAATACCGAAAAAGTTGAAATATTTAGAGAAAACATGCACATAAATCTTGTCCTTGTTGGTATTTCAGACTTTCGCATACCTCGGGCAGAAGGTGTGCAGCTTTTATCCCTACCAAGAACTGGGTGCAAGTTTTGGTGTTTACAAGCATCACCCGTTTGTACTGAGAGCTGTGACAAATGTGTGGGCCAGGTGTGCCTTTGAAGAGAAGTGCATGTCTCCGAGGCCGACAATGCCTTCCCTCTCCTGTCATTATGGACCTTGTCATAGGTAATATTGCCACCCCTCTAGCCACTAAAATCATTGAGTGTTCTTTCTTTTTTTCTTTCTCACATTCAGTGGCTGCAAACTCCGACAGGAAGTTCCAGCTGTTTTTCCATCTCTGGACTTTAGTCTTGTTACTGAAGCTGAGCGCTGCGTGTACATCCGTTTTACAGATCTGAGTTATTTGAGTGCAGACTCTCTGTTGAAATGCTGTAGACCAGTGGTTCATCTCACCTTGATCGTCTGGTATCATTCGGGGTCGAGTGGAAGTATAGTTCACTGAAAAGGGCCAATTTGTGAGCTTCGTAAAGGAGGACTGCCAGGAACTCTGCTATTCTCTCTGTCCATGTTCGCACCGTCGGCCTCTTCTTCGCTTCCCGCCTCTTCGGCCTCTTCTTCGTACACAATTACATGCTGTGGTATACTGTATGCTGATGTTTGTGTTAGTGGCCTGACTATCTCGCTTGTTGTCTTCTAATAAAATGCAGAGCTGCTGCTACCCCCATTCTTGTTCGGATTTCATCATTCCTTATCTTATGTTTTATTGTTAGGAATCGTGTTTAGGTTGTTATAGTGTTTCAATTTTTTTTTTTTTTTTTTGTCATTGTCCAAGTCTGGCATTGGTAGCAGAGGGTTGGCAAAACAAAATGTCATAGAATTATATTTTTACCTTTGTTCATAATTTAAAAAAAAAATTATAATAAACTAGACAGTATATTCTAGTTTAGTTTATTCTACATAGTCCATAAATCTGACAGTATATTCTAGTTTAGCTCATCCTACTCAATACCTAAAATTATATATTCATCCCTAAAACATACAAAAATCTGACCATGCATTTTATCTGAGTTCACTGTACGTGAATGCTGGAAGCAGCCAATAGACAGAAGATCACACCAAGTGTCCAAGATGTATGACCGTCGCAGCTCAAGCGCACAAATTTTCTAAACGACGACAACCTGCTATTGGATTCCTTACGGGAGACAGGCTAGCGGGGTGCAGGGGCAGGAGTCCAACACACAACTGCTATAACGACAACGTGTGGAAAAGTCAAACAGTTTATTACATCACAATACACAGCGGGGCATAAAACATGATGTTGAATATACACTAGTCAAAACATACAACCAAACAGCGAACAGCCGTTCACAGTTACTGAAAAATTTAACAATGTTAGGGTGTTCAATACCTTGGACAGCCAAAAAGAGCAACTAGAAGGTTTTGAAAGAGGCGGGAGCCTGAAGACAACTTATTACAGACATCAAAAGGAGACAGTCATCCTTTTTTGTCCATGCTATGAGAAGAGGGAAAATATAACATGTTGTCACCACTGGAAAGATCTGTGGAAGGAGGGATAGAGGAAGACAACGAGAGAAGATTCTTGACAGTCTTGTTGCATGGCATGGAGGTGTGTCGGCACACGAACTAATACATGCTGCAGGAGATCGTGGATTATGGAGAGGCATGATCGCCCACGCCAGTGGGCAAGGCACCTGATGATGATGATAATGAGGTTGTTCAAGCTAGATTGCAGAATCGCTTATTTCTGCTGCGTGGCTTGTTAGTACTTCCCACGATAAGTTTTATTAAGCCGTTGAATAAGCAGCCATGCGGCGTGAAAGCAAAAATTAGTCCATTCAAACAATCTTAAAACTGAAATCAATAATTCCCTGCTACCCTAGGTTTCTGGTTCTGCTAATCCACAGTATGGATACATGTCACAAGAACCGGCAAATAAGACTCTGTAGCTTGACGACAGCAACTTGACCAGCGCTCACAGACACGACCAGTTCAGCAAAACTGACTGCGATCAGTCGATCACAACCAACAGACTAACTGGAAATAACACATTAGTGCATTCTTATATAGTTTCAAAGTTTTACTTATGCACTACCGAAGGTCAGCCTATCGATCATGCTGATATTTTTCATACCCTCAGAAAAATTGGAAGGACAGAGGACTTGGGGGGGGGGGGGGGGGGGGGCAGTGAATCCACATCACTCGCCAGAATGGCAGACTTGGGAATTAAGATCGGCTTGGCAAAAAACGAGACGCACACCAGGCACGCCAGAAGACTTGTTAATCAATGTAGAACTGGTACTATTAGCCATCGGACGTTGGCGTTCATACTGAGGAAAGGATCTAAGCACTTGTGGACAAGTCCGGAGTGCAATAATGATAACCCAACTAACTAACTTATGTAGATGAGCTGGCTAAGCGTTCTTTCCACGCCACTTTCCGCACAGCTTGTGAGACGTGAACTTGTGTAGTTTGTGGGTCCTGATATCATCGTTCCTATGACGATATTTCCTTATTGCACCTAGCGTAGTACGTCATTTCATTTCTATCGTGACTATTTTTCTTTTGTCTTCTGAAGACAGTGTCGATGTTTGGCACTGATAGCAGAGCGTTGGTGAGAACAATATGTTAAATTGTGTTCTTTTAGTGTTTATATTCACATGCTTGCATTTCAAAATTGGTGCCATTTGGCCTAAAACTTCATTGGCTTTATTGCATCTTTGTTTGATTTCTTTCATTCTTTCTTCTTCTGAAAAAATTATTCCCAGATATGTAAAATCTTTTGCCTGTTTAATTGGTGTTCATCAGTTTTGATATTGGTGGTTCTTCCTTTTCTGAAGAATGTCATCACTTATGTTGTTTCTACGTTAAACTTCATATCGTAGTTGTCGCATTCATATCGTAGTTGTCGCATTCTGAGTGGAGTCTATTAATATGGTTTTAGCTGTACTGCTGTTGGTGTATGATTGCCTTATCTTCGGCGAAAAGCAGTTCTCTTAGTAATTCTCCGATGTTGTCCCCCTCGTTGATATTAGCTGATTTGCAAATTTGGTCGACGTATGTGACGAACAGTAATGGTGATAGAACGCACTCCTGTCTCATTCTAGATCTAATGTAGAATCTTTCTGACTTGTTCTTTCTAACTGCGCATTGACTGTTGACGTTCAAACTCGTGCAGTTTAATAGGATATTCGTTTACTACGTAATCTTTCCATAATTTTTTTCTATTAACTAAATCGAAAGCTTTTTCTTGATCGATGAACGTGTAGTTTCTTTGTCGGATTCCTTTCATCTATTTTATCTAAGTGTTAAATCGGCATCAGTACAATTTCTGTTCTTCCGAAACCCATTTGTCCTTCAATAAGTTGTGGTTCGATGATAGGACGTAGCATTTTTTTCAAGGAACTCACAAAATATCTTCCCGGTGTGGCTCAGTGACGAAACTCCTCTATACCTCTCAGTCTCTCTTGCTGCCTTTCTTCATCCAGATTGCTACTATTATTGCGTTTCCCCAGTCCTCAGGTGATCATTTGTGTTAGTATTGAAAAACAGAGGGCTGAGAATGGAGCCTTGAGGTACCTCCAGTATTTAAGGTAGTGGTCAGGGATAGTGATTTATTCAAGAGAATATTATAACAGGGAGATCGGTCTATAGTTAATGGAATAATTCTGTCTAAGGAACCAGATTTTAGTTGTGGATACACTCTGGCAATCTTAAATGTTAATGAGAAGTAGCCTTTGACAAGACATTCGCTGTAAATAAAGGTAAACGACTTACAAATAACGGGGCAGTACTGCGAAGGATCCTATTGCTGATTCCGTCTAAACCGGATGTATTACTGTTTCTCAGGCTGTTAAAATGTATAAAAACTTAAGCAGCTGACATGAGAGGTATATCAGAAGGAATATCTTCGGGGCATTTCTTTTCACACACTGCTAGCAGGGATAAATCACACAGACTGTTTGACATTTTGGCTTTTAACTCTTCTGTATCGGCTTCAAATAAATTACTGAAATCATCTGATGTTATATTAGATGTCAGCAAAGACGTTGACGTATTTTTGTTTGTCAATGTGTTATTGCCTTTCATATATCTTTGGTGTTTCTTTTATCTACTGTTAGCTATTTAAAAATGTTTGTTCTCTTTTTACGAATGGCATACTTATCTGTGTTTCATAGAAATAAGTAGAAAGTATATTTATGTGAGTAAGAAGTAGAACGGAGCAATTATGGGTTACACCCGTTTGCCATGATGACCATCCGTTGAATAAACCCCCAAAAAACCAATAGTGTATGTGCCCTATTTCGCTCTCTCATCATTTCAGCAACCTCCTGTGTGATCCAAGAGAGCTTAGTTTGATATTTCACACGGATCTAAACTGGCACGTAAATATAAAATACAATAGAGGAGGTCTTCACCCCATTCTCTAGGCGTCTTCTGAATCAGGGAGTTGTTAAACTTGGTCAGGAGGTGAATTGAACAAGTCTAGTAGGAATGCATCTTGATTAAAAAATGTTATAGCTTCAAAATTTAATACAACATGTTTTTATTTGACACTTTTACGCCCCTTTTATCCCACACGCAAATTACGGAGTAATGATCATTCACTGCTGTAGTGGCTAACTTGCATTCTGTAATGCTGTCAGGACATATTACATAAATATGGTCTTTGAGAGTTGATGTTGATTTTGTCATTCTAGTAGCTTATTTGAATAGTTGTCTTAAATTAAATGAGATAATTATGTCTTCCTACGTCTTGCTGGATGTTAGGCCATAAAATAATAGCAGAAGGCATCGTACCAGGAAGGAGGGGCAGGGGCCGACCAACACGAAGATGGGGACATAATGTAAGTGACTCCTTGAGTACGAAAGTACATGAGGCGGGAGAGCTGGCAAAAGACGGAGTTTCTTTTAGGCAGACTGTGATGAGAGCGACGTTTTGCAAAGGACCTGCTACATGATGATGATACTGAAGTCCCCAAAAAGTATAATTTCCCCTACATTATTAAACACTGTATCCATCATATTAGTGAAATTGTTATATCTTATTTTATCAGTGCTAAGATAGCGGTAGAGATAACAAACTATGAAGGGTCTGTGATTTTTTATCGCAACTTTTACGAAAGAAGGACAGGAATGCCTGTGTCACTAAATGACACATTACAGTGATGCAGACGCACCCCCAAAGTGACACACACAGAGTATAAATAT